ACGAATCGGTTGAATGCATGACTCAATGACTCACTCATACAGTGATTTGCCACCATAATGGCGATTTTAGGTTTATATTTAAAGTATATTTTCCCTTTTTCTTCCCCAAAATCATTTCAAGTATCACTATTGAACGTTTTGTTTTTAAACATCAAAGCGTTATGAATTTATAACTGCAGGTTAAATGCATTCATGTCCTACATTAAACAGTCTTTGTCAAGTCAAGTCAAGTCAAGTTTATTTGTACAGCGCTTTTCACGATACAAATCATTGCAAAGCAACTTTACAGCAAATTAAGTTTCTACAATATTTAGTGGTAGCTTATCAGTGGTGACTGTCAATTAATGTACATATGGCAGAAATGTACGGAAAAATCAATTTAAGACGTAATAAAAAAGACGATGAACACTATTAACAGCAATTATAAAATAATTAAATGTGCAAAATAGCAAAATGTGGTAGTTCTGTATGTTGTTTCAGGGTTGGCATCATCTGAGGTCCTCTGAGGGGTTGGCATCATCTCTTCTGGGTGCACCGGGCCTGTGCAGAGAATGCATCTAATCTTTGTGAATGCATCTAAATTCCACTTCAGATGCAGATTCTGTGCCACCTCTGCATTGCAAACACAAATTTTGTTGATACTGATTTCATTTGATTGGTAACAGCCCTATAGTGTTTTTACAAGTATTATTATTATTTTTAATTTATTTATTGATTCATTTTAAGAATTTGACACAAAAAATGATGCATTTAATTAGGTTAGAAAAAATTGGCCTTATTAAGGTAAAAATGCCCATAAAAGGTAAAAATAAATTTAAACTTATTGGAAAAGTTAATTTCTTTTACTCAAAAGCTTTGGCAATCAGATGTCCACAGCAGTCCTAAACCTGCCAAAATATCAGCACAATAATACGCTCAGCAAAATATCGTCTAATTATTGTTATCGACAAAATTCCCGAAATATTGCAATAACATATTTTGTCATTATCGCACACTCCTAATTCACAAACAATTTGACTTGAAAATTGGAAGCAGACATGTGATTTCTCACACAACATAAAGTAAAGAATAACACTTTACTTATAGGCTACAGATAAGACCAGCTTAGGTCAGCTTGGATTTCCAGAACATTTATTAGTAATAAATTAGAAACATAAATCTGTAGTTCTGTTAAAGCATTTGTGAAATTTTACATTTCTAATGTGCGTGTATTCAATGAATTTGAATAATTACGAATACTTATGAGGTCACATAGAAACTAAAGATCTGTCAACAAATAATGATCAGAATGAATAGATTGGTGGTCATGTGTGGTAATAAAAATGTATTAGTATTACAATGTGTACATGAAACCTCAAAGGGTTTGGTCAAATAATGTTATTTTTTGAATGTGAATTAAGTGTCATTAATCATTATATGTAGTCAACATGCCCTTCATTGTGACTCTATAAAAGAACAGACACACCAGTTCACTGATGATGATGATGATGATGATGATGATGATGAACGGCAGCTCATCTCCTATTGACTGTTAATGCATTTGATGGTGTTATCTTATTTTAAACTTATTCTTGCTTTATTTTTACACATCTTCCTCACTGTTTTGTTTACGTTTAAAAAATGAACTTAATAAAAGCACATTTGCGAGACTGTGAGTCATGATGAATATGAACTGTACTCTGTAGTAGTCTGTGGCTTCGATCACATGAACAAATGACTTTGCTTCATAAAGATGTTTTTCTGTGGCTCTGCATAACATTGAGGAAAACGTTCAGGTCTTCAGTGACCTCAATTTGCCTTATACTATGCCCTAAACATATGTACACTTTTTGTGAAGAAAAACGATGAGACCAGGTTGACTTTGTCATTTGAATGCTATTTAGGACAAATGAGAATTGGGACTCAGCAATTGTCTTGTAGCTCTCAAAAAGCCCTTCTCTTACCCAGCATGCACTGCTGTAAACATACTTCAGTTGTAAAGATTTACTTGAATTGTTCTTCAGCATGAAGTCTTTTCTCAACCCGCTTGATTGATTAGATTGGTCTTTTTGAACCAATAAACAATTTTCCATCTCCTGTGTTCAATAGAACTGATGGGTTCAGGGACTTTCCAGAGGCTTTTGGGCTTTATTTGTAGATGCATTAGTGACTTAGCACAGTGCCGAAACAGATTAATCGATGTTAAACAGATTCTAGGAAATGTATGTAATTACAGGGTGAGCTAATGGCAGCTGTGGACGTTTGGATCTCGTTGTCACAAATTTCAGTTTCCTTAAGCACTGTTTTACTTCAAAGGCTGTCAGCTTCAAACCTAGTGAGATGTTAAGCACATAATAGTAGGTTATTGAAGCATTCGTTCATTCTGCATTGCAATTTAGTAACCATTGTAATATGAGATAAAGTAGATAATCAATAACACAACCAGTCAAAAGTTTGGAGTAATTAAGAAGTCTCTCTTGAAATAATACATGATTCTCGAGCACCAAATCAATATATTAGAATGATTTCTGAAGGATCATGTGAGACTGAAGACTGGAGTAATGATGCTGACAATTCAGCTTTGCATCACAGGAATAAATTTCATTTAAAAAATATATTCATATAGAAAACGGTTATTTTTAGTTATATAAAAAATATTTTATAATATTGTTTTACTGAATTTTATGATAAAATGCATGATGCTGCATTGGTGACCAAAGAAAGTGTTTTTTTTTTTTTTTCAAACTTTTGACTGGTAGTGCATTTAAAAGTGTTTTTTTTTTTTTTTTCAAACTTTTGACTGGTAGTGCATTTAGTTTTCATGTAGTCTCTCTTCCAGCACTTTCCTTCAGAGACGTTTCTTAAATGATTTAGAATTTTTCACTTGCAGTACCATAAACAAATCACCCTACATTCATTTTAAACTAGAATATCTATTAATTAATTTAACAAGACCCAAAAAGTGCATTTTAGACTCATCACATCCACCCTGCTGAGAATCAAGACGAGCCACACAGAAGAAACCTTTAAGGTGACATTAATGATCACTAATATAATTCATGGAAAGATGGCAAAATTTAAACATATTAAACATATACTTAATAAAAACAACAAAATATATGCCAATATTTTCTGTAAGATAAGTAAATTAGCCAATTTTGTTTAAATGAAGGATTGCAGAAATTAGCACACCCTAGATTTAATTCAGAAAATGTATAATATTCTAGTACTTAGTACGTCCTCCAGAACTTAAAGTATACTGCTCTGACCCTTCTTGGCACTGAGTGTACAAGTTCATGACAAATTTTCACATCTGTGCTGTTTAACTCCTGGAGGACGACCTCCTTAAATGCTCTGATCTTTAATGGGGAGTGTTGCTCAGCTCGTCTCTACAGAATCCCCCACAGCTGCTCAAGGGCGTTAAGATTGAGTGAAATACGTGTTCACTGAAGGATTTTCACCTTGGGAGAATGAATATATTAATTGTCATGCTGAAAAAATACCCAATAATGCAGGGAATGAGGGGAGGGGACCATCTTCTATTTCAAGTTTTTGTATTACATCACACAGTGGTGAGTAAATTCATGCCAGCATTGATAAAGTACAACTCCCTCACACCTTCAGCACTCATTCATCCCTATAGAAGAGCTTTACTACCACTGAACGTCACTGTGGGTACCAAGCACTTCTCTCTGTACTCCTCCTCTAGCAACACCAGAACATTTTGGATGCTTTTGGATCCGAAATGATTGACTTGGTCTCTTGAGAAGTCTCTATTTCGTAAATATGGGCCCTGGAAGAGGCTAAATGAGTTTATTTTGCTTTGGCTACAGTGGGTAATTCTAGTGGTGACAACAACCATGCATGTCACTTCTGCAGGCT